GCTTGATTTTACATTTCCCAAGTGGGTGCGCTCCAGCTCCGAGTTTCTTGTTGGGCTATGGCTAAGGAGATTCTCAGTCATCCAGGTCATAGTTGTCCCAAAGGTGCTTTTTCAAGAGGCAACTGGACTTTCTGATTTGTCTTTGAAGACCATTCGCTAAGCTTCTTCAGCTCAGAAGCTTCTTGGGTGAGAAGCGAAACGTCTTCAAAGACAAATCAGAAAGTCCAGTTGCCTCTTGAAAAAGCACCTTTGGGACAACTATGACCTGGATGACTGAGAATCTCCTTAGCCATAGCCCAACAAGAAACTCGGAGCTGGAGCGCACCACTTGGGAAATGTAAAATCAAGCGGGCGGGAGAGCGTGAAAGGGGGAAAATCAAGCCGAGAGTCGGCTGCCGTCCCCCTGGCCGAGAGGGAACTCGCAGGAACGGAATCTCCTTACCTGTTACAGCCCTGAAGTCCCGCGAAAACAGAGCCCATAGTGCCGGCAACAGCAACAGGAGTCCCCGCATCTGCATAGTCTGCTTCATCTCCATCTCTTCCCCCTCATCATCTTTATCACCATCCTCCTTGCGACCTCCAAAGCGCTTGCCTCGCGTCGGACCCCAAAATTCAAAGTCGGGGAGGAAAGGAAGGGGAGGGAAAGGGGGAAAGGGAGAACGGGCGGGCAGCAAAGCAAAAAGGAAGCGGGGAGGAAAAGAAGAGGAAAACCAACGACGCCCCTTCCTTGAAAGAAAAGGTCCGCGCCCCCTCGATCTGGGCGCGAAGAGGAGCTCGGCGCCCACGCGATCGCGCCCGGCAAGCCAGGAACAGAAGAAGCGGCTGGAGATGGCAGCGCCAGGCACCCCACCAGCGCTGGCTCGGCCGGTGGTTGTGCTCCCTTTCCCTGAGCTTGCGATCACCAAGTCGGGAAGGTCCCCCCCTGCCGGCCTCCCTCCCGCAGTGCACAGAATTCATCGGGCCCGCCGAGCCCGCCGAGTTGAGCTTGGTCCGGCGCGGAGCTCCCTCCTTCGGCCGCCGCGACTTCCTTCTGCAAGTCTTGGCATCGGCTTCTTGCTTCTCCTCCAGGAAATGGCGCTCTCCTGCTCATGACATCACCGGCTTCATGAATATTAATCCATCGACGGCTTATCCTATTGCTTTCCTGAACTTTGTTGTTTTATCCCCCCGCGAAGTGGAAAATAACAGGCCTGCGGCAGAATCAACGTGGTCTCCCGTTTTCAAGGAGAGGGGAAGGCGCGGGTGCCACCTTTTTTCTGCGCGCAAGTTAGTCAGCGAGCCGCAGTTTCTACTCCAGGAGCAGCTCATCCCAAATCAGAGAGGTCGTGGTTTGAAAAAGAGAGAGAAAAAGAAAGAGAGGGAGGGAGAAAACAGAAGGGTCTGTGTGAGACGCGGACAAATAAAGGACTACCCATTTCAATCTTCACCCAGAGAAGGTCGCCAGTAGATCAATAATAATAAATAATATTTACAGAGGCATACAACATCGATGTGGATTTCTTCCAGTAAAAATCCAAGAGTGAGAATGATGTTTCTTCTTCCTTTTTTCTTTTTGTATAGATTATACATTTTATGTTCAGTTTTTATTAGACGTTCTTCACAGAGTGTTTTCCATGGAATCAAAGCATTACTTAGAAATTCATTGAACAGTTTACCTTAATCCCACTTCTCTTTTTGCCCTCTCTTGCTAATGTGGCCAGTGAAATAAGTGAATGTGGGGAATTCTTAATTACGAATATTGTATCTTATGTTCATAATGTATGGTTCAGATATTTTATGCATTTTGTGTAGCTAACTTCTTTGAACCCAATTTTGCTCCAAGACCTCATGGCAGCTGCATATTTCTTACTCCAAGACCAGTTCTACAGCAAAAACCTTTTAAGTTGGGATGGACTAAATATAGTGAATGGCCCAAAGTTATTAAACTAAATGTGGACTTGAACCTAGTCTCCTTAGACCTGTGTGACATTCTACCTAGTTATTAGGACCATCAGCCAATCAACATTATGTTCTAAATTGGGGGGGGGTCTGAGTTATAGTCTCTCTCCCATAGACCATCATAAAATGTACATTTTTACTAAATTTAGTTGGATGTTTATGGGAAGAAGTAAATTTGCTTCTTGCTTGTTTTTACTGTAAAAATCTATGTAAGGTTGGTATGTTTGGATTGCCCTGTCCTGTATAAATGCCTTAATCCAAATTGTCAGTACAGTTTACTGGAAATTAAAGCCAACAGAGAAAAACAAGAATTGGGCTATCATGTTTTGGTTGCAGATTGGGCAGCAGAGATATGTAGTAATTCTTGCTTAACTGTTTGAAAACTGGAGAAAAGAGAGTGTGTTCCCTACCTGTATTCCCTAATTCCCTGTGTATGGCTGATCCAGGATATCTGGCTGCCTGAGCTATGGCCAATTATTTTGACACAAAATATAGGAAAATATCCCAACAGCCTCTCGAGGCAGTAATACCATAACAAATTACATAACAATTTGCTGTTGTTTCACAGCTGTCTAAATATACTGGGTTACTTCACATTGTCCAAATTAGGACCCTAAAGAGCTATGTATCAATTGTATTAAAAAAACTGATAATAAGAAATAGCAAAACCCAGTAAAATATGTAAATATTGGCATTGATAAATTCATTACCAGTCAATTACAAAAGGCAGCTTTATTCAGAACAGCTTACACCCTGCAATTATATCTTTAACACCACCAACCATCCACATCTGCCTATCCCAGCTCCTTGGGAAGGACTCAATAGGTGGACAAAAATGCCAAATCCAGTCTGAACATCTGGCTGACTGTATGATGAGCAGTAATAATAATAAGGGAGGCAATTTTTCTGAATATTGAAATCAATAAATAGTTGGCAAGCTCTGTAAGAAAGCCATGCTACTCTATGATGGTTAAAAAACAAATCAACATCTTTTCTAACTAACACATTTAAGCTCACAAAAATCTGTTAGAAAAGGTGCTACCAGATTTTTGATCGATTTTTGCCGAACTATTGAGTTGGATTGAGTAATGAAACTTGGTTGGGTAATGTAACATCTGCAAGAAAGCCAAGCGCATCAAGGATTCCATAGTTCAACCCGGAGTACACATATTCTCTTCTATTAAAACTCTGTTGAATTGATTAATGCGTTGTGCTGTAATGTTAAGCATGGAAGCTACCTCTTCAAATTCCAGCTGTAACTTCCTTAGAGAAATATTTATTACTTCCTTTGGCTACTTTGTTAGTATTTCCTTTATGAAGCATGATGGTAGGTAGATAAGATTAAGTAGCTTTCAAGGTTGTAATTAGGTTTAAATAAAAGAGAAAAATAATACAGAGTACTCTTAATATTCCCCCCTCCCCAGTTCCTGTACATTTCTTACTTCCTGCGTGCATGAAATGTTTAGCTTTGGCTATTATAATCATAATTCAAACCCTTTTCTGGTTTTGCATAAATGCAACTTTTGACTTGTTTCTGGTTTGGTACAATTATTATTATTTTTAATCCTGATGAAGAGCTTTATTTAAATCTTGTTTACATAAAACGAAATTGAGAAGCATTCCAAATAATTCATCATCAAATTTATCTGTTTTAGCAAACTTTAAGATAAAGTCTATTTCAATTTAAACCCCACTCCTGGTGATTTCACGGATGCATCCATTCAATTTTCATACCAACAATGGGGAAGTAGTAGTTGCTGCCTTAGCTTTCATATGCCAACAGGGGGGGGGAAATCAGGTTTTTTTAATAGGGAAAAAATTATATTCTCATAAAACATCTGGTTTGTGGCCATATATATTAATCCAACTAGAGGTATACAAAATAGTTGAACACTTTTCAGATTCCAAGAACTCTTCTTCAACCAGGATGTGTAAAAAACTATTTCCATCAGATATGCTGATTGGATATCAAGAAACCATAAGTCCTATCAGCATTGTAAGAGTGTTCAATTAATAATATCCCTTCCTGTCAGCATGAGATTTTGGCCTGTAAAGCAACCTACTGGTTCAAACCCTTAGGAGCATTATGAAAGTTCTGCTAATTAAAAATGCCCTTCTACTACCTAAGTATGAAAATACAGCGGGATAGTTATATAGTAGGATGAAACGCTTTTGCTTATTGGTCCTTTAAATAAGTGTTTAATGTTCTTTTATTTAGTTTCAGGGGGGGGGGGGCGGAAATAATCCCACAATTCCTGTAATTCTTTAATAATAAACCTTGTTTCCCATT